CATAAAATAGGTTCCTAGGACAAAGCGAGCCTGCTCTGTCAACGTTTGCAGCAGACAGCAGCTGGGATGCTTTCCTTCATAGTCACACATGGAGATGGCTCCTGTGGCCCTTCCTATTTGCCCCAAAATTCCCTTTCCCAACTCAACACCCCCTGGCCTGAGAACCATCAGGGGCCTCCCACACATATTTCAAGGGTCCCCAAGTTGCAACCAAGTGATGACTTAAGAAAGCAAACCCCACGGAAACAAGAATGACACTGTACACTTTTTCGTTTTGCAAGGGATGGGTTAGATTTAAAAAACAAAAACAAAAATGGGTCGTTCAGCATCTGGAAGATATTTGGTGTCACCAGTCACGTCAAAATCACGAGTCCTTCGTTCTCTGGAACTAGGCTGTCGGCTCTGATCAGGCTGTGATTCCCCCGAGGGAGAAAAAAGGAAAAAAACCACCACCAGCCAAGCTGAGGACTTGGAGGGGATGGGGCTGGGGGACTTTGAGATTTAATTTATTCCTGGTGAGGGCAAAGGTGGAGAAGGTCATGGCAATCCACTGCAGTATTCCTCCCTGGAGAATTCCACGGACTGTATAGTCCATGGTGTCCCAAAGAGTCGGACACGACCGAGCGACTGAACTGAACAGCTAGGAGGGGTCTCGGGAGACTCGAATGCAGTGACTGCTCGGTCGGAAGCTCCGGCGTCCACGGGGACTTGGGCTGAGATCAGCAGTTGGGGGGACTGTCTTGCAGGACCCGGCCGACCACCCGCTTGGGTCCTGCAGCTCTGCTGGGATCCCTTCCACATTTTCCAGGTCCCTCGTCCCCGTGTCTGGTGCTCCACTTAGCAGACACTGGCGGCCGCTCCCAGGGGCTGGCGGTGCTGGAACGCTGTGTCCTTTCGGGCAGTCAGCTGGACAGGCCTGGACGCCCTGCGACCTGCTGCCGCCTCGGCGGCCGTGGGCATGTCTGGTGACCCCCCCAGGAGTGACTCATCGCCCAGAAGTTCCCCGCCGGCCAATCCTAACCCCACAGGGAGTCCTCCCTGGAGACCAAGCCTCAGCGTCTGCTTCTGGGGTGGTGGGGGGTGGGGTCCGACCCCACACAGCCCCTGTCTCCCTTCCCCGGTCTCCCGCATTGCAGGCGGATTCTTTACCAGCTTAGCCATCAGGGAAGCCCATATATAAACTAATCGATAAGGACGTACTGTGGGCGTCCCAGGAGGCGCTAGTGATGAAGAACCTGCCTGTCAACTGAGACTTAAGAGACTCGGGTTCGATCCCTGAGTCAGGAAGACCCCCCGGAGGAGAGCACGGCAGCCCACTCCAGCGTTCTTGCCTGGAGAATCCCACGGACAGAGAAACCTGGCGGGCTGCAGTCCACGGGGTCGCAGAGAGTCAGACACGGCTGAAGCGACGTGGCCCGCACACAAGGACCTACTGTGCATCAGAGGGACGTCTAGCCAACGATCTGTAATAAGCAACTTGGTAAAAGAATCTAAAAGACAAACAAACAGACTCACGTGTACGTATAAGTCAGTCACTTTGCTGCACTGCATAAACTAACAGCCTGGTTAATCAGCTACACTCCAGTCTACTATAAAATTTTTTTTTTAAGTTTTAAACCATAAATTAAGTCAATGTGTCTCAGGGGAAACTGGTCGTTTCCTCACTCCGATCCTGGCGTGAAAATAACATTTTTATTGCTCTAAGAGGAACGCCCTTCTCTTCGGGTCGGGATAAAAGAAGGTTATAGAGCGGGGCTTTGTTTGTTTCCTTCAGAACCAAGTGGAAAGCAAAACAGAGCTTACCAAAGCAGCAGAGAAACAAGACAAGCAAAAAAAATGGAAAGAAAAAAGAACGCCCAGCGGCCTCCCCACCGCCCCCACCCTGGCGGACACCCGGTCTCCGTGTGGCTCAGTGCCGAGACTGCCTGCTGACTCCTCTGGCCTCTGCTGTTTTCTTTCCGCCTTCTCCATGGAGACTTCCTGCGGCCCTAAATCTGGCTTTCCCGTAACCGCAAAGAACAAAGTGTTGAAGATGAGTTAAGATTTCCTGCACTGCGGCAGGTTTTGTAAGTGAGGGGATGGCACTCAAACAGATTAAATCGGGGAGCAGATGCGAAAGCTACCTGTCATTGCCACGGATATTTTGGGAAAAAAAAAAAACACGCCACACACCTTGGAGATTAAAAATAGGGACTCTCAAGGGTCTCCTCCAACACCACAGTTCAAAAGCATCACTTCTTAGGCGCTCAGCTTTCTTTATAGTCCAACTCTCACATCCATACGTGACTACTGCAAAAACCATCTCTTTGAGTCTGCAGACCTTGGTCGGCAAAGTGATGTCTCTGCTTTTGAATCTGCTCTCTAGCTCGGTCATAGCTTTCCTCCCAAGGAGCAAACAATCTGTGATTATAACTACTGACCCATCTACAAGCAAACTCCATAATGCTGTGTTCTGTGGCTTGTGTCTCCAGGTTAACGGGCACCCTGGGGGAAAAAACAATACACATGCTTGTCCGAAAAACTGGGTCCCTTGGCCCGTGGACTGTCTCTCTTAGTTTGTGCTGGGGTGATACCCTGGGAACCAGCTAGAGGCAAACACACTCCTGTGCCCACTGGATGATGGAGAAAAAAGAGCTGAGACGCTCCAGAGCTGGGGCATGGAAATGCAGTTTCCTGGGGCAGGGTGATGCCATCCCAGCCCCTCCGCTTCCCAGCTCTCCCAGAGCCTCCTGGCATCGGTGGCCCGTTCAGCTGCCCTGCCAGCCAGCAGGCACACTCAGCGGGCGTGGCTCCGAATGCCCGGCTTCTAGGAAACACCAAACCCTTTGACCCCTCTTTCAGGAACAGTCAGGGCATGTCTGTGGGCACCCCGTGGGCAGCGTAGACAACCAGCTCTCCCCCCACCCACCCCGGTCCGGCAATCAAAGGGTGAGAAGTCGTGTGCCCAGTGGCTGGGTGGGCGGGGGAGAGAATGTACAAGTGTGTGTTTGCAGACAGGAATGTAAACGCCCAGGAATTTGAGTGAGTCGTGCAAAAATGTCATGCGGTGGGCTGAGCCCGGCAGAGTGGGGGGGGTGGGGGGCGGGGGAACCCCACTCAGGAGACAGCGCCTCGTCAGCAAGACGAGGGGCTGTGTCTCAGGAACTGGCTGCAGCCGGCAGGGGTGACTCACTGGCAGGAAGAAGAGAATGCAATGGGCGATGACCAGGGTGGGGCATTTGCATCGTGGTTTGGCTTCCCTTGTGCCTGAGCTGGTTAAGAATCCGCCTGCAGTGCGGGAGACCTGGGTTCGATCCCTGGGTCGGGAAGATCCCCTAGAGAAGGAAATGAGCAACCCACTCCTATATTCTTGCCTGGAGAATCCCACGGACAGAGGAGCCTGGTGGGCTGCAGTCCACGGCATCGCAAAGAGTCAGAGATGACTGAGCAGCCAACAGTTCCACCTCCGATTCTTCCAAGGACCTTTTACTTTGTGTGGGGGTGGGGAGCTCCCATTCTGGAAATTTTCGGTGTCCCCCAAAGAGGCAGAGCGGGGCCATGGGCAGGAAGGGGCTCCCAGGGAGACTCAGGCTGTCCTAGTGGACGCCGACGGGACACAGAGGAGGGGGACCCCACGAGCTGCTGGTTGATGAAGGGAAGGGAGGTAGAACTGGGACCTTTGAAGGATCTGGGGAAGGTCACCCCGCAGGAGAGACTGCTGTGCTCAGCGCCCAGGGGTGTTGAGGTGTCGGGGGCTCTGTATGTCTCCTGGGGGCTCCGGCAGTGGCTGAGGTGGCGATCCGAGGCGTTCCCCAGAGGGGAAGTGATGGTTTGCATGGACCACTGAAGAGGAAGCAGGATTCACGGCTCAAAGAGGATGCGTGTGTGTTAGTCGATCGGTCGTGTCCGACTCTCTGCGACCCCATGGGCTGTAGCCCACCAGGCGCCTCTGTCCACGGGATTCTCCAGGCAAGAGCACTGGAGTGGGCTGCCATGCCCTCCTCTCGAGGGGTCTTTCCGACCCAGAGATGGAGCCCAGGTCTCCTGCACTGCAGGCGGATTCTTTACCAGCTGAGCCGCCAGGGAAGCCCGCAGAGGATGATGTGTGCGATGCTGTGTGCTGTGACCGGCTCAGGGGCAAGAAAAAGAGGAAGTGAGGTCTTGGGCGGGGTCCCTCGAGCAGAGTGAGCTCGTGGGCGGTCCCTGGTCCCGAAAACGGCCCTGGAGTGTCCCCAGGTGCCACGTTCCCGTTCTCATCTCCTGGCGACCCACTCCGCGGCTAGTTCCTGTGCAATATTGTTTTAAATATAAATCTATTTATTTTTAATCAGAGGATAGGTCCTTTAAAAAAATATTTAAAAATGTAAAATTGTTTATTTGTAATCAGAGGATGGTTCCTTTATGATATTTGTTTTTATAAAGCTGTTTATTTTGAGTCAGAGGCTACTTCTTTTATCATATTGCTTCTTAAAAATAAATCTGTTTATTTTTAATCAGAGGATCGTTCCTTTATCATATTGCTTTTTTAAAAACAAATCTGTTTATTGTGAATCAGAGGATAGCTCCTTTATCATATTTTTTTAATAAATCTGTTTATTTTTAATCAGAGGATCGTTCCTTTGTTATATTGCTTTTTTAAAAACAAACCTCCTTATTTTTAATCAGAGGATAGTTCCTTTATCATATTTTTTTCCAATAGATGTGTTTATTTTGAATCAGAGGGTACTTCCTTTACCATATTGTTTTTTCTTTAATAAATGCGTTTGTTTTTAACGAGAGGATAGCTCCTTTATCACACTGTGTTGGTTCCCGCCGTCCCTCCGGAGGAATGGGCCGCAGGTACACACCTGCCTCTCCCTCTTGACCCTCCCTCCCACCTCCCGTCCGATCGCACCCCTCAGGGTTGTGGCGGTGCTATGCAATCACTCGCTCGGTCGTCTCCGACTCTTTGCAGCCCCACCAGATAGCCCGACAGGCTCCTGTGTCCATGGGGTGGCAGGCATATTGGAGTGGGTGGCCACGTCCTCCTCCAGGGGATCTTCCCGACCCAGGGATCGAACCCAGGCCTCCCGCACCGCGGGCAGGTTCTTTTCCATCTGAGCCGCCAGGGAAAGCCCCGCCGGCTTGTGGCACGCAGAGTCTTCTCCACTGGACACAAGGGAAGGTCCCAGCCTGTGTCTCTTAAGCTGCCTCTATTGGGGTCACCTTACTAACGGCCTTTCTGCAGGCATCGAGGTGGAAAATTCTTTTCTCCATCTTGAAAGCAGTCCGCTCATTACAACCAGGAAAAGTATACCAATACAGTAAAAGGCCTTGAAGGAAGGCAGAGGTGTCCCTTGCGGTCACCTTCTTGGGCCTCAACTTCTGCCTGCACGCGGGTTGCTTAGATAAGACCCTACTGTCATCAAGAGATCTGCATAGAGTGTCTCGGCTGGAGCGGACTTGCTGGATAGCTTGTCCTTCCTTGGATTTCCCTGGTGGATCAGATGGTAAAGAATCTCCCTGCAGTGCAGGAGACCTGGGTTCGGTCCCTGGGTTGGGAAGATCCCCTGGAGGAGGAAATGGCAACCCACTCCAGTATTCTTTCCTGGAGAATCCCCATGGACAGAGGAGCCTGGCGGGCTACAGTCCGTGGAATCTCACAGAGTTGGACACGACTGAATGACTTAGTATGAATGCCCTGAATTCTTTGTCTGTTCCGGGATCTCAAGCCTTCTGCTATCTTGATGCCTCAGACAGTTATCAACATACCGATCACGGTGAGGTTGCTGGCCTTTTCCTGTTAAGGAGGAGAGAAAAAGAACTTCCCTGGGGTTTCAGCGGTTGAGACGTCGCCTTCTCACACGCAGGTTTGATCCCCCGTCAGGGAACCAAGAGTGAAAAAGCTGGCCTAAAACGCAACATTCAAAAAACTAAGATCACGGCATCTGGTCCCACCGCTTCATGGCAAATAGATGGGGAAACAATGTAAACAGTGGCTGAGTTTATTCTCTTGGGGCCAGAAACCACTGTGGACGCTGACTGCAGCCATGAAATTAAAAGACGCTTGTTCCTTGGAAGAAAAGTTATGACCAACCTAGACAACATATTAAAAAGCAGAGACATTACTTGGCCAACAAAGGTCCCTCTAGTCAAAGCTATGGTTTATCCAGTGGTCATGTATGGATGTGAGAGTTGGACCATAAAGAAAGCTGAGTGCCGAAGAATGGATGCTTTTGAACTGTGGTGTTGGAGAAAACTCTTGAGAGTCCCTTGGACTGCAAGGAGATCCAACCAGTCCATCCTAAAGGAAATCAGTCCTGAATATTCATTGGAAGGACTGATGCTGAAGCTGACGCTACAATCCTTTGGCCACCTGATGCAAAGAACTGACTCCTTCAAAAAGACCCTGATGCTGGGAAAGATTGAAGGCGGGAGCAGAAGGGGACGACAGAGGATGAGATGGTTGGATGGCATCACCGACTCAGTGGACATGAGCTTGAGCAAACTCCGGGAGTTGATGATGGACAGGGAGGCCTGGCGTGCTACAGTCCACGGGGTCGCAAAGTATCAGACACTCATTAACAACTAAACAATAGCAGGAACCAGATGCCACATGACTAGGAGCTTGCATGCCAGAACTAAGATCCGGTGCAGTCAGATAAATACGCAAATGAATAACTTTTTTTAAAAGATGCTGCAGCACATTAAACAAAAAAGTCCCCCCAGTCTGTGACACCAGACTAGGGTAAGCACCCACCCTTCATTTATGCACGATGCACGCAAACCGTGTTCTGGGCAAGCCCATGGGATCCACACATCTATGAGGAAAAACAAACAGCGGTGTGTGTCCAAAGGCCGCAGGCCTGAGGCTGGCCCGGCAGGAGCCAGAGAGCACAGCCATCACCCAGGGCACATACCGTTCTGCAAGCCCAGGCACGGCTGGTCGGTGCAGAGTCTGGACACGCCAGAGATCTGTTTTCAAAGGGCAGCGCCACGCCAAGCCACTTGGGAAAGTCAAGTTCAACGCCGGCAACAAATAAAAAGCCGCCGAAAGACCACGTCTCCTTTCCTCAAGTGGAGAGAAAATACGGGCTCATCTGCTCAGTCGCGTCTGACTCTCTGCGACCCCGTGGACTGTAGCACTCTCCAGGCCCCTCTGTCCGTGGGGATTCTCCGGGCAAGGACACGGGAGTGGGTTGCCACTCCCTTCTCCAGGGGATCCTCCCGACCCAGGGATGGAGCCCACGTCTCCTGCGCAGCAGGCGGGCCTGTCACTCCTAGGACCACCCCAGCCATTCCCCAAGAGCCCTAATAAAAGCTGGTCGCTCCGTCTCCACAGCCCGCCTGTCAATCTGCCTTCCTTCAAGAATCCACCTGCTCCCAACGGTGCTGGGTCGCTCCTGGGCTGGGCTGACATCCTGATTTTACACGAATGCAGTCTTCCGCTCTCCTATCACTGTGAGATGTTGGTCACCATCCACTGGCGTCTTTTCTGGGCTGGGAACGCAGCAGCCTGGGGCCCTGACCGTCAGAGGTCACGCTGCTTCCCAACTAAGACGTTCTAAAGGGACAAGTACAAACCACCTCTGGGGCAGGTTTGGGACTGTCTGCCTGGGAACTTCCGTGGGGGCTCAGCTGGTAAAGAATCCGCCTGCAAAGCGGGAGACCTGGGTTCAATCCCTGGGTGGGGAAGATCCGTCCGGAGGAGGGGAAGGCTGCCCACGCCAGGATTCTGGCCTGGGGAATTCCACGGACTATGCAGTCTACGGGGTTGCAGAGAGTCGGACACGGACCGGGCGACTTTCTCACACACACACACCTGGGCACTCCCTGCCCAGGTGGGAACGACCTGCGTCCTGACTCAACAGGCAGGCCAGGCACAGAGTCCCAGAGCAGAGGATGGCTTTCCCCATCCCAAGCAGCAGCAGGTCTCAGGTTTCGTCCAGAGTTATTTGTCAGCATGCAAAGGACCGGAGTGTTTTCAACAGCCAGAAGGGTTCTCCCCCGCCCCTTGGGCAGAAACCTTCCTACGTATACGGGTGTGTGCCCCCACTCGGGTGGGCAGGAAGAAAAGCACACGAAATCGCTGGACAATTAAAAGAAGTTGGATTCCTCTTGCCCAAAGGCAGACCTTACCCAGGAGGTCGAGAGCCAGGTCCACCCAACCTCACGCCCGACCGTGAACAGCATCCCAGGTGCCAGATGGCGATCCTAAAGGTGATATTGAGAGCTGTCAGACCCTGCATTTTTACTTTTGCTTTTAAGGAAGCCATGCAATTGTCCCGAAGTGGACACCTTTTAGGAACAGGCTTCTGGGAGAACACTATGGAGAGTCCTTAAAAAAAAGCTAGGAATAAAATAGGAATAAAGCTACTGAGTCGATACAACAAATACCCCAGAATCTGTTACCAAAAAAAAAAAAGCTAACTAATCTTTCTGAGGATCAACCAAATGAACGTCTTTGTGAGTAAAATCACATCCCAACAGGAACTATCTCCATTCAAGGATCCACATAATCCCGACTCCTTGGTGGGTTTGTTTTTTTATAATGGGCAAATTTGCTTTTTTTTCTATGAGCATGTTAAGGGTAAGTGGAAACTATCACTCAACCAGAATTTCCCAAAGATGAAATTTGAGATAGTTTCCCATTTTAAATACGGCAGTGTGTCCATGTCTATCCCAGACTCCCTGACTGTCCCTTCCCCCATCCTTCCCCCTGGTGACCATCAGGTTATCACAGAGTATTGAGCTGAGTTCCCTGGGCTGGCCAGCAGGTCCTTGCTGGTTCTCCATGTTAAACACAGCAGCGTGTCCATGTCCATCCCAGACTCCCTGACTGTCCCTTCCCCCATCCTTCCCCCTGGTGACCATAAGGTTATCACAGAGTATTGAGCAGAGTTCCCTGGGCTGGACAGCAGGTCCTTGCTGGTTCTCCATGGTAAATTCAGCCGCGTGTCCATGTCCACCCCAGACTCCCTGACTGTCCCTCCCCCATCCTTCCCCCTGGTGACCATCAGGTTATCACAGAGTATTGAGCAGAGTTCCCTGCGTTATACAATAGGCCCTGATGGGAAGAGCTGGCTCATTGGAAAACACCCTGATGCCGGAAAAGATCGAAGGCGGGAGGAGAAGGGGACGACAGAGGATGAGAAGGTTGGACGGCATCACCGACTCGACGGACATGACTGAGCACGCTCCGGGAGCTGGTGACGGACAGGGAGGCCTGGCGTGCTGCAGTCCATGGGGTCGCAGAGAGTCGGACACGACTGAGGAAATGACACTTGAGTTTACTTTAGACTCCAAGCTCCAGTTTTCAACCTGAACTAAATAATTTTTTTTTGAGGGGGGGAGGGAACTGCCCCCAAACATCAGCTGGTTCCCTGTCCACCTCTTCCCCGCTTCCTGCAAGCCCCAGGGCCAAGCGTGCGTGCACGGGCGCGCACACACACGCACACACGCACAGACACACACCCAGGGTCACAGAGCCCTGCTTCCGTCTGTCCGTCCACACGCAGACTCCGGGCGCCCTCACCTCCAGACTCAGGCCCCGGGCGCCCTCACCACGGCAAAGGCCGGCTTTCTCTGCGGCCAGAGCCCCGCTGGCCACACCCAGCCTCAGATGTGCTGGCTCCTTCGTTCCGAGAAGAGGCTCCCCAGAGAAGGAGCCAGCAGGCGGAAGCCATCCGTTCAAGTCATCCTCCGCCTCATCACAGGAACCCCAGGGAGGCTTCCCTCCAAACCCCGCCGCCTGCGATGAGCTGCCTCCTCAAGCAGTGTCCACACGAATCACCTGGAGAGAATTCAGAGACCAGCGGAAACCCAGCTACGTTCAGCAACGCGGAAGTGAACACCATTTCTCTCACAGAGCTGGAAGCACTTCGTATTTCCTTCCTGCCCTCCTGCCCAGTCCCCATGTCTTGGAAAGAGATACGCTTCAACTGAATTATTTCATCTGATTGATGACTCGCAATCATGACTTTATTGCTACTTCTCTCTCAGGTCTTTCTTCGGAGAGGGGTGTTGGACTCACGTATTCCAATGTACTGTTTACAGATTATAAGATAAAGTCACGCATGTACCTGCTGATCCTTCCTCACCTCATACTTAGAAATGT